AACGATTTAAACCACTTCCACTCTCTAATGCGTATAAATATATAAACCCTATTGTAAATCGGCTAAATCATTACGGTCAATAAAGGGTTTACAATCCGGTGTGGACTCAATACACCTCAATTCAATTCCACTCAACGCAACCCAAATTAACTCAATGCAACTCAACCCAACCCAACTCAATCCAACCCAATTCAAATCAGCCCAGCGGATCTTAGGAAGCCGATCGACAACACTGGTAATATTTTGGCTATTGATCGACATCACACTCCACGAATCAGAAAAAATCCACCACAAATGTATCGGATACTGTAATATTGCGGCCAGTACCAATCAACAGAAAGTATTGATCACTTCAACGTCTGACTACACGTTAGAGAATCAATTTCAGAATTAACTTCTATTTGCATTTCTTCTTTTAAGATTCACGTTACATTCGATGAAACCATTTGACGTAGGTAGAAATTGAAATCACTCTTTGCTTGCTCCAAGATGAAGAATTTTGCATATGGTAGATAATGCTAACCATCATTCTTTTACATTTGATTTCTAGTAAATGAACGGCTATATGTTGTAAGTAAAAATTATATATAGCAAGATTTTATTTGATTTACGTGTAAACTTTCGTGCGGTCCTTCTAAAGTGAATTCCCTAAGTACAACATTTTCAAAACAAACGATCAATGGACATGATGAATAGCAATTATGTTGAAAATGATTCGAGAATCGTAAAATATTCAAACCTTAAATAAAATTAAATACTGAGTGATTATCTTCATGCCTTTTCCATTCACATTTACTGATCTTTTTAATGATCAGTCTAAATCTGCTGCTTTTTTTTTTACTAAATGTAACATTATAAATTAATGATATAAAAATGAAACAAATTGGAATGGGAAAGCTGCAATTTGTAAAATTATAAATAAAATTAGAAATTTTATTTCTTTTTAGAAAATCCTAAAATATTTTCACTTGAAGTTCTCATTTAAAAAAGAAAATTCATTCATAGTTCTATTTATCCGGCATAGAACAAAACAAAGTACCATCAAAATAATTCAGTGTTTGCGATTCATATCAAAGAATTATTCCCTAATGAAAATAATAGTGGAAAGTGATATAATCAGTTTTCCTTATATTTTCAGCATAAATTTTTTTTTTTTTTTGAATCAATTCAGTAGTTTCCTTATTTGATGATCCGAGACAATATCCTATGCCAAAGATAATTGCAAATTTTGTAATTTGTAAATGATTTTTGATTGGCATCCAGGTGGTGACACATGCAAGAAATTGAACTGCAAATGATCAAAATTTGATCATTTCTCTACATTCTCTAATATTTGTCTGGTAAGATTAAAGGATAAGAAATTACCTATCATCTAACAAAATATTCTCCTCAAATGTTCATCTGTGTCCGCAAAAAAAAAAAAGGAAAAAATGAAAAAAACAAATGTCACAATAAGAATTGATATTGAAATTTTGATGGTAAAAAGAAAGTGAGATAGGAAAATTCGCAATTTTCTTAAAGGCAATTCTTCATAAGTAAGCAATTCTTGCGCTTTATCAATTTAACAAATAAACCTAAGGAAAAAAATTATTATTATTAAAAAAAATCTCATTTTCACTAGAATTTCAAAAAAAAAAATCCTTTTTAAATTTACAGTTCGTTCTCCCATTGGTTTAATGTCTTTTCCTATTAGCTCAAATGTAGCTTCTCATTTTGAAATATCAGATGCTTTCAAATTTCTCAGTAACTTCAATTCAATCGGTTTTTTTTTTATAACTTCATTTAACGCTTTTACATATTTTGGCACATCGAATATATTAAACAAAAAAGTATTGAATGTCAAATGTATTTGTTCACGAACATCGCTCGAAAAAAATTTATTACTAGTCAGAAAATTTGATACATGCCAAAATTAGTTCGATGAATTAATTGTGAGAAGTACTATTAAAGCCCGTAATCAATGCCTACCAGATAGTTGTTATCGCTTCAAGAATAGCTATCATCGTTAAATCATTATACAAGAATCACTACTGATTAATCATATCCTTTCATTTCAAATATAATTCAGTTACGGCAATCTGATAACAGTAAAACGGAAACTGCCAAAATATTTTTAAAAAACAGTGAATATTTTTAAAAAATGAAAAGTATTTAAAAATAGTTTTTTAAAAAATAGTTGACGATAGCATAATTTTCTTATCATAATTATATTTCATTGAACTAATGAATGCTTTATATTTCGTGAATAGTATAAAGAAAAAGTAACAAATCGTTGTAGTTGTTGAGAAAATATTCTAACAATTTGTACGATTAATGATATAAATCATTTTAAGATGCTTTCAAAATCTCTAGTGATAGGTAATATTTCCGGAATATCACATCCGCTAAGTAGCATATTTTTTTGTGCGGCACCGGAACATTTAATTGGTGCATTTGATAGAGTGAATGTAACTGGTCCTTTGTTAAATGCTGTTGATGAAGTCGGAAAAATATTATGAGTTGTTTTAATTAGAATTTGAAATATTTCTCAAATAAATGATTCGTTACACAGAATTAATAAAACAAATATTTCGATAAGTAAAGTGATGAATCATTAATTCAAATCCAGTTTTTCAATTTTAAATCAGTCTTAATTGCAGTATTTAAATGTTGCAAACACAGTATTTTGTTGTTATTTTTTTCCAATCTGTTAATCAACCTTACATGCAATTGTCGAAATGTTGTAAAGGATTTATGTGCAAATATTGAAATCCTATAAAGAGCCTCTAGTCTGGTAGTTAAATCAATATTTCTGGAATGTTAAATCACTCTCATTATAAAAAGAGCTAAGACCAATCATCCGGACGATCAGTTGTTAAATCCACAAGTCAAGTAGTCATTCAATTTGACAACTCTTGCAACTACACAATCCAACAGCTCATTGAATTACTCAATCGGACAGCTCGCGCAAGCGTTTAAGGAGATAGAATAATCAGGCAGTCAACCACGACAACGGTTCAACGACAGAGAAGCGACAATACGACAGTTTAATAGTGCCAACCGATAATACCGTTTAGTATCCTTTAATACTTATTGTCCATTGTTCATTTCATCCCTATTATTGTTTCAGTATGATATTGTATAAGAACAATAACCAATAAAGGTTACTATTAACGCAGCGGAACAATAACAAAGAATAAATGATAAAATCTTTTCCCACAAATGCACGTAAACATTTTTGCGTTTTCTGTGCTAAATCAACACGATAAATGTTGCATCGATTTGAATCCAACAAAGCTTGCGGTTAATTTTTGACCTAAAATTAATGAAATCAAATCATTTAATCGATACTATATTGATTGATAATTGTCAAAGATTGCAATTCATCCAAAATACATGCAAATATGCATAGCAATTAGCATGTTAATATACAACATTATAATCCTTTTTCATGAAATTATCAATTGTTTAAAAGAACTCAAGAAATGATCTCAACATTGGCATATGGAAAATGTATATTACATTTAAAAAAAAAAAAAATCAATATTTATTCAACCACTAACTCAAGTTTTCCGAGCCTAAAATTTCGCCGTTTCTTCTTACCCATCACTGAATGACAATAACACAGAGCAAATAGCAATACCAAATCAAATTGAAGTTCTGCTTCAAAGTTTTGCTATAACAATTAGTCACTTATAGTTTATCATTGTTCCATCATTAAAACGAATTTTTACACCATCTGAAAAAAAAAATTTTTGTTCAAGAAATTTAAATCAAATAACCTTTGTTGAAATTTATATTAGCTCTGATTGAAAAGTAACAAAAAACATTTTTTTCCAAAATTGAATTTATCTCGGATATTGATAAAAATTTCATTTCATTCCTCATCTCTCACTCGTTCTCTCTTAATTTTTCTTCCCTCTCTTTCTTTTCTTCCTCATTCTATGTTAAAAAAAAAAAGAAAAAAAACGAAAATTGACTTCTATCTTTACTTATCTCAATATTGTGGGAATTTATTTCCGTAGGAGTAGGATTGATTTTCCAGGCTGCTTATTTAATCCAGATATTATCAGGATGAAAATTCATCATGCATTCACTTAATACATTGTTGCAGTTTGCATAGACCTCCTGCACAAATGTGTATCCTGGCTGGAAAGGATGCTCCTACAAAATTCCTGTTGAATAGATTTTCCGGATTTTCGGATGACATATGAAATTTAAAAATTATAGAGGTGATACACATTTGGTATTTACATGTGATTTGTTTCTTTAAGAATTCCGAAATCAATTTTCGGAAAAGTTTAGCAGCACTAAATTAAATCATTTTTCTGATTAATCTTGTATTATTTGTTTATTGCAGGTTAATATGCAATAGTATGTTACCGGATTTACTCGATCTCATCTGAAACATGTACACCGTGTTTTAGTCAGCGAATTAGCAACAGTTATATAATCAAATAGTAAATTATAAGTGTGTAACGGATTTAATTAACAGGTATCTTTAAATATTATTTAATTCAATAACTATTAAAACATTAGATGGATTAATGACACTATTTGCCCTTTGAGTGTCAATTTATGACATCGATAAGATAATGAGGAACCATTCCTACCACCATAACTGCAATGACAAAGCTTTTTCAAACATATGAAAATTATTTTGCCATATTTTGAGTTAATAAAAGTTATCTATTAGATCAGATAAGGATAAAATCAAATCAAAATTGAATAAGACTGAGAAGGAGATTAATTCATTAGTAAACATTTTACATCTTCTTCGGGAAAATTGTTGCTCCACATTCACTTAATCTTTCATTTACAAATATGCTATAAATTCAATGACCAAAGAATCCGGATAATTCCAGAACTATTACATTGTATCTTTATCACTTCATCAGAATCACTGATTGAATAATTCAACTTTAGGGCTAGATCTAAAAATTGTAACACCTTGCAGGAAAGTCCAAGCAACATATTTTAAGCTTTCCTGTTCTTTCCATCAGGAAGCCTTCGACATTTTCACCATTCATTCTAATTACTCACTTTTACCAATTACTTAGTTCGTTAGGCAATCGATGGAGGAAAGTTAAGTTTACTGAAAATAAAAAAAAAAAGAAAGGAAATTTACCTAAATTAGCAGCCATTAATTTCATCGGTTTCATAAATAGTTCAAAAACGGGAAGAGCTCAATATATCGAATGAAACGAAATATTCTTCTTCTCTACTTCCATTCAAATTTCTGTGTCAGATTGATGAAAAAAATGAAAAGAAAAAGATTTGGGAAATTTTTAGGGAATTATTAATTTTTGAGAATTGGATGGAAAAATTAACGGTAAATAAAATTACTTAGAAAAATTAATCACTTAACATATTGATCAAATAATTTTGGCAGGTATATATTACAGTATGCAATCAAAAATTCTTTCTTATCTTTTGAGTTGATAAAAGATTACCAAAATTGACTTAGTCACATTAAGTAATAATTAAATAAAACAAAATTCACACATTAATATATATTAATCACTTTTTATTATCATTTGATAGCATAAAATTATAAGTTTTGTTTCAATAAATACATTAATTTAATTTTCAGATTTGCATCAGAAAATGATTCATAAAAGAATTTTTGTCAATTTTTTTTCACTTTTTATTTAATCAGCCATTTGAAAAAAATACGGTTAAAATTCATAAATTTATGAGGAAATAAGTTTAAAATTGATGAAATTGTCTAAAATGCGGTGATAATTTCCAAAACTAACAACATTTTACAGAATAACAAGCGAAAAAGCGAAGAAAAAATTTATTATATAAATTCATTAATAAGCCATAAGGAAATGAATGTTAATTATCGTCACTAACAAATTATTTATATCATTGACAGAAGAAATTCTACTCCCAATTACATTGAAGAGATTTTCTGAAAAACAAGAAGATATTTTCATATCAGATAATTAACGCAAGCTATTTATTGATATATTTAATTATTACTTCAAGTATGTACAAAAATGCAATAACGAAAATTCACAAAAGTAATTATTTATGATAACTATCAATGCGACGAATAATTTTTTTTTTAATTTTATTTAAATTTTGTCACATAATTAATAACAATTTCTGGTAACACAATTCATTGCACAATTGTAAAATTACGAAAAATGTAATTTGAGGAAAACAATCACATATTTGTTTTTCATAACTTGAAGTCTATATTAATTAAGGCTAAATTAAAAAATTTCTTAATCAAACATAAATTCTCAAAAATTGTTCGGTTCCTTCATACTTTGCCTTCTCTCTCTCTCTCTCTTTTATAAGTAATGTAACGAGAAAAACCTTTATGTTCTTAATCATCAAATAAACGTAACAAATATATGCAATATCTATAAGATATTACAAATCAATGTCGGATCTATTTCTTCTTTAGTGCTTACGTGTAAAAGTAATTTGAATGAATCATAGCCAAATATAATTTCAATCGCAATGATTTAATTAATTATAATAAGAATCTTTCAGTAATTGTTCGGCAATAAAATTCATAAAATAAAAAAAGAGAAAATAGTTATTTGGAAGAATTCTTGCAACTAATTATGTTTGTTTGATTTTGTTTAAAATCATGAATATAACAACAGCTATTCATGTATATTCATTGGTTAAATCTTTGAGATGAATATTTTGCATTTAGGGCTATATTTTTTCACATCTTATATTTGGTGGGTTCCGGTTCTTTTTGTTTGTTTTTATTTTCTTGGCAATAATTGTTTCATTCTTATTTCCGGATGGATGAGTGTATTTTTACTTTAACATTTTTTTTTCTGACTTGGAGAAATTTTACAATATTCCAGAATAACTCATTAAGCGATCATGTCGAACCGTTTCGGCTTCCACACTAACCATTTCGGGATATCAGAGGAAGAACTGTAAGTTTTTGGATAATGATTGTTTCTATATTTATCATTGCTTTAGTGTAATAGAATGTTACGCTGCTATATTCGGGCTTGATTAAAATGAATTAGGATGGTGAGCCTTTATGTAAAAATGATATATTGATATAGCGTATACATACTTTTTGATACGTTAAATTACATTTAAAGTATATTTAGTATTCTAAGCTCCATAATGATCTGAAAGACTAGCATCAGTTTCATTTGCCACTTAGCAGCGGATATTATAATTTGAAATGGTATTTTAATTCTGCGTGTAATTATGGTGACCAAAAAATTGCCCACATTGATGGATTAGAAAAATTGACCTAGCAAAAAAACCACTGATAGGAAAATTGGTACTTTTATTGGTTTTTGTTTTCAGCAGTGCATATAATTCTGGATGAAAATTTGCAGTAAAGACAATAAAACTCTTCGTTTAAAATTATACTAGGTATGCGTCATCAATATAATTCTTATTTATGCTTTTTTCGCAGTGAGTATGATGAAAACGACCCTTCATGGTTCATCACGTCACCAGGTGCAAATGTCCTCCATGGAAGGTATGAGTCGGCAAAACCATTTATTGAAAAAATGCAACGTCAACATCGAACATTTCTGGAGGAAAAGTTAGAAAAACGAAGAGAACTCCGTCAAGCGATACGTGAAAAAGTTTCACGTGACTTTGATGAAAAGTTGGAACAGCATATGGCAAAGTTTCAGCCAAAGGTATATTCTTCGATTTTAATGAGACCATCACCGATTGGTTGTTTATCCGCTTTACCGGTATCGTCCTGGTTCTGAATGTTGGACGGAAGAAGATATTTTTCCCTCCGGCACAACTCTTTTTGTGGTTTCGATAGGAAAATGAACAAGATTTTTCATAGTTTACTTTATAGTAACAATATTCCAATTAACTTTTTAGATCTGGAATTGCAAAAGGAATGATGATTTGGCCATCATACTAGCTAGTTACAATTTAGAACACAGACATGAAATGTCGATACTTTTTCAAAACCACTAACGGATGTTCATTTCAGCCTAGGGAACGACTAGTATTAGAGTTATTTCTTTCGCAGCAGAAGAAGGAGCTAGAAGAATCATTTAGGGAAAGATTAAGGTGAATCTTCGGAAACTTTTGTTTTGCTTTTAATCAACCCACTAAGACAATAGAAAATGCTGCAAATATAATTAAAAATGCCAATCAGTTACATGATATTGTTATTTAAGCACAATTAAGACTCTCTATTTCATTTCAAAGCAGATAAATGTAGATTTTAGGATACGAAATGCCTAATTTAAAATAGGTTTAAATGTATGTAGTATTATGAGCTATTCCATATTTCAGGAGAACTTCAACATTCTTTCGTCATGATCATTTTACCTATTTCAGCAAAAATCATGCTCTTGAATCAGAATCCGTTCTTGGTCCATTAACAAATGTCAGTACAATATCACATCTTCCTATATCTAAACCTGCAACACTAGCAGAATCGACGTTCATTACATCAAAATCTCAGCCGGTAACAGAAGCTTCTGCCTCGGTCTCTTTGACAAGATCAGTAATTACCATCGATAAACCAGCATCGAACATATCCTCAACGTCATCTTCGGTGATCGTTGCCAGCCTGACACCACCTATCAGTACAGTCCCATCCACTGTTGATCAAATAACTCCAAAGATTACTGCATCTTTTTCTGCGCAGGTTACTTCGACATCATCTTCACCATCATCCGCAACACCAAAAATTCAGCAGCAGTCTGATCTTTCCCCTGCATTTGCTTTTCGTCCACAAAAAACTGACACACTTACTTCTGTTTCCTCATCAGAAACATTGAGAGGTGGCCATGCAGCGCTTATGAGAACGGACTCCGTTTCTTCATGCAGATCGTCAGCTTCAAGGAGTACTTCATGGCCTTTACAACAGATTGTAGAAGAGCAACAGCGTAAGTTTCTTTTTTTTCAGAATTCCGATTTTTTAAAATTGTTATGAGGTAATGCGCATATTTTTTTACATGAAGTTATGAATTTGTTTGGACTTTCCTACAAGACTGTTTCATTGAAGTCCTCAAATTTCGGAATGACTTGGTTTTGTTCTGTTCAGCTCTGTCAAACGAAGCAAGTTTCACTGTTGCGGCTGCACGAAATGAATCGACAGCCCAATCTTTGTCAAAAGTTGAATCTCTAACTGTAAGCAGCGGAAAATCGAATGATTCAAACATTAAAACTACCAGTCACTGTCATCGAATTTATGGCCATGAAATAGCTTTCGCAAGAACGTTCATGGCAAATATAGCAAATATATCTGATTCCGTCAAAGTGATTTTTTAATTTTTTCAAAATTTTCGAGAATGTTGCAAGACATCTCTCTTTATTCAGTGGTTTCAATAGATATTAGGATGGGTGAATTACATTTAAGATATCATGCGCACTTATTGTTTAAATGAATAGGAAAATTAGTTTGTAATAACTTTCCGAAGTTGAATGGATTGACTATTGCACTGCAGTATTTTAAATTTGGATTGAATAATGCGGTAATAATTTGAGATTTGCAGCAATATTGGTTAATGTTCATTGGTGACTGTCATTTAATGAAGGATGCTATAGTCTAGATGCTGCTCACGTTTTCGTTATTTTATAGTAGACTACTAGGGCATTAAGATACTTAAAACTTTTCACTTAATGGAGGAGAATGCATGTAAGTTAGAGTAAGTCGTGGTGATAACATATATTCTAAAAAATATATATGTATATTTATATTTGTAATATAAGTACGACAAATATCTGACATTTTTATATATGAATTTGTTTCTAGAATGAACTTAAATGTACGATAAAGGAAAAGATTTCGATATCAACAAAGAAATTTGCTAAGCAAAGTGATGTTGCTCAGATTGTTCGTTTCTTTACCAGTTTACTGAATGGTTTAACAGTTTATGGATTTAACGATAAAATGATCAACTTAAAAGATGACGAACTGGCTCGGCATTGGGCTATGGCTCATGTCATTGATACATATCTGGTAATTTATTGATATGTTTCTTTGTTCCTTTTTTTTGGGCTTTTTACCAATGTTATTTGAGTTTTTGGGTGTTTCTAAATAATTAATCACATCTGCGAACCATGTCTGTTGCGGATTGCTGATCGTTCATTTCGAATTCGCTTTCTTTCAAGTTTTTTAATAACTACATTTTGGATTTAAAGCAGGCCTATGGTCTTTTTAAACAAACGATGCCTGAGCTTGATTTCACTTATAAAAGGGATTTTGATTTTTAGGCAAGCATAAAATTTATGAAAGATTTTTATAAAAATTAAATGTGTAATGTCCTGAAAAGTTTTTACTTGGTCTATAGCACTTGAAAAGATACAAATATGTACCTTTTATTGCCATTATGCGTCCTGATTCTGTTTTATATCTGCCTCATAATATTATATTCCTAGGATCTTGTTCCACAGGATATAAGTCTCTTAAAAGTAGTGGCTGCTATTCTGTCATCGCTGGCTTTGTCATCAGTCACTTTTTCGAAATTGCTGTATGGCAAATTGTTTATTGCATCGCCGCTTTTGGCAGTTAATCATGATGAATGGTATATCTTTCCCTATTTTTTTCCATATGAATAAGTCTATTATCTGCGGAGAAATGCTAAGTTATGTGGAAGGAAATAAGTTGCATATTATCACGAATCTCATGACAATATGTATTAGACGACAAATCTCATGACAATATGTATTTTTTTTGTTTTTGGATTTATATATTTAATATTACTGCCATGCATTATTTCTTTTTGATCACCCTCCTTAGTAGGTTAGGTTAATAATCCTTATTTTTCAGCTTAAAGTGCATTCTGAATTTTAAAAAGCGTTCAGAGAGATTCGCTGAAACGATAGTAGCATGGCGCAGTCGTGAAATTGCCATCATAAATTTATTTATTGCTTTGAAAATGTCGAATGCAAGTGCTGGTCTCCAAACGACACCGGTAAATAATGGTTTAGGAATGATGTGGAAAATAATCGCTTTAACAGCTTCAGACGATTCAGTCTTCGGTGCTACATTGATTACAGAAATATTAAAGGTTCCACTTAGTTCTAGTTTGTTATTATTATATCCATAACTGTGGAGATGAGAGGTTGAAATTTCTCTTGAAGTATAAATGATAGAGCGCTTCGGATTTAAATTTGCGCTTTTTTTTAGTGAGGGTATTACTTCCTAGCCTTCCATTACGGTAGTTGCAACGAAGTGGAGAACAAGGAAAAAGAAGCTTGTTAAATCTCTCTAAAACCTATTGAATGAATGACTTTTAGAAACTTTTGAAGTGCAGTCCTTAATTTTTCCTTCTAGATTTAATAAATTTTTAGCAGCACTGGAATGTGATGCATGCAACCTATGGTAGACAAATGGAAAAGCTGGTAATTCTAATTGACAGGTCGGTTCTGCCGCACTGGAAAGCTTCACTTCGAAAAATTGCACCGGACAATTCGGAAATGAATGAGACAATCCAGAGTGTTACGGAAAACTATTTAACAGCATTAAAATTTACGGTTGATGATTGTTTGTCATCATTCCGTTCATAAGCATAGACTTGCTAAATGTACAGGAATTGTTCATGAAATTTAACCGGATTATGTATTTTTTATTGTGTCGTTACGTTTCTCTTTTGTTGTTTCATTATATTTTAAATTGCCTAAAATGTTTCGGTGCTGTGCTATTAACGTTGTTTTATTTCAACATGAAATACATTTTATAGAATTCATGCGAACAACTTCGCGAGATATTCATTATCTGATCTTATCTCATATGGTTCGCATTTGCGTGTTACATTTGTCCCAAAAATTGTTCAACTCTGTTCCTCTCACTCTTTGTTTCTCGCCATGCATTGTTTTTCCAGGTGAAAAGATATTATAGTTTAAATGTACTCAAGTTTTGGATTGTAATACCTTGTTTCATTATTAAACTAAAATTTCGATTTCAGACTGATTGGTAAAATCCATAAAACTTTACGCAGTTGCAGAAGAGCACTTTTCGTAGTTGTANATTGTCATTG